TCCCCGCTGGGGGCGGGGGGAGCCACAAGTCAGAGAAAGGAGTCAGGCCTCCCCACCGGGTCAGGGTAAGAGGGATGTTGGCAAAGCCCGGGGACACGGGGGACGCAGGGCAGGGTGCCGCCTCGGAGCCCACTCACCTCCAGCTGCAGCATGGGCTTGGCACCGCTCATCACGCACGACATGTAGAGTTTGTACCCCTTGATGCCCAGGGCCACGGGCACCTGCATGGCCCCGGGGTTGCCTTGCGAGCTCTTGGGCCGGTACAGAGCGATGTTGAGCTTCACTGCAGAGAGAAGAGACAGGGTCAGCGGGCTGTCCCTGGGGCTGGCGGCGAAGGGAGCGGGCTGGTGCTGGGGTGCCCTCCCCTTTGGAGGGGCCCTGCAGGTGCAGGGCCACGAGCTGGGTGGGCGACTCCAGCACGAAGCTCTTGTGGTTGATGTCGAGGATGTCGAAGGACAGCGAGCGGGTGTAGCGGTACACGGGGGCCCCTGCGTAGCTGCTCTCTAACCGCTGGAAGGGAACGGGCTCTGCGGGGTAGGACACTGTTAGGAGGGGTGCCAGCATGCCCAGCGGTGACAGCACCCACTCACACCTCCCTCCAGTGACTTCCCCATCGTCCAAAGCCACACTGCAACCGTACCGAAAACGGTATCCAGGAAGCTCCCAAGATCGCTGTCGGCAAAGTCCTGGTGTGACGGCCTCTTCAAGAGCTTGGTCGTGGCCACCATGAGCACGGCGACCTGGCGGAAGGTCTTGGTGGGGTGTCCCTCCGTGATGGTCACCTGGACATCTACCTCCGAGGGGCTCTGGCCAGATGATTTCAGGTCTGAGCTCAGGCGAGGCTTCTGGAGAGAGATGGGGATGTGGTATGAGAGCCTGGCTTTTCTGCCGTGCCCCAGAGAGGGGACACCCGTGGGGCCGGGCTCTGGTTGGGGCTGTTCCCACGTCCCCACGTCCCCGTCTACCTTCTGCAGGCAGACGTAGTCGGGTCCATAAAATGTCTCCTCGGTCAGGCTGGAAAGCAAAGAGAGCCGGTGAGGCCAGTGCCAGGGCTGCATCGCCCCTGCCCCAGCGTCGCGTCCCCGCCACCCCTGGGCCATGCCGCCGCCGTGACCCCGCTTACCTGTTGCTCTCCAGCATGTCTAAATCAGGGACGAACGCCATCTCTGCCACGGGCTGCAAAACCTGCCGGGCAAACGCAATCCCCGTTAGCGTCGCTCCTTCTCGGCGCCCGGCCCGGGCGAGCCGAGCGCGGGCGCCCCCGGATCCCGCACGCCCCGAGGGGGAAAGGGCTGCCGCTACCTGTCCAAACGGTGCGCTGGCTCCGCCTGTGCTGCTCGCCGCGTGTCCTCGGCGCTCTCTGAGCTCTGCGCCGGCGTGCCGGGTTTTCATGCGCTGCTGGAAGGAAGCGCTGTCAGAACGGGATTTCCACGTTTCGCAACGCCTGGGGTTTACCCAGTTCCCTCTACAGGCTTTCCTTCCCCTTCGGTTCCCTTCCCAGGGAAGGCTTTCTCCTTCCCAGGGCCGCCCAGCCTCGCTGGCACGGACCCACCGGGCAAGGAGAGACGTGCTGGGGAGCCGGCACCTGCGCCGGGGCTCGTTGCCATCCCTCTCTTTGCTTGGCTAAACTGGCGGGGAGAGCGCCGCTCCTCCCCGTCGCCTGCCTCCGGGAGCTGGGGGTTGGCCGGCCCGAGCACCCCCGTTGAGGCCGGGGAAGGGTCGCCTG